GCCAGCAAATCCTTCTCTGGGGAGACATGGGCCTCCCTCTCTCTGCACCCCCACTGCACCCTGTTCTGTATGAAGTAAACGTGCCCGTGTCCCACATCCCCAAAGCCCATGGAACGGCCCCGTTCTGACCCAGCGGCTTCCTCCCCCCCCCTCCCCCTTGCCCCAGATGAGAGACGTGGTGGGGGCCGCCACGGCCGGGCAGACCTACTACCGCAGCTGCATGGACAGCACCGTGAAGTACATGAACTTCTACAAGATCCCCAGGTCCGTGCAGAACCGCGTCAAGACCTGGTACGAGTACACCTGGCACTCCCAAGGCATGCTGGGTAAGACTCCCCCTGCAGGCACCCCGCCCTCGTCCTGTGACCCGGAGGCCAGCCTGGGGCCTCTGTTGTCTGTGTCCCTACATTTAAGTGAGAGGGGCCTGGGAGGCCTGTGGGGCGCCCGGGGCTGGGCCGCCAGGAGGCCCTGGGGACTTGAGGGGCCTGTCTTCTGGGGGCTCTGCCCACCTCAGTTCACCCACCTCGGAGTGGGCGCTCATCGGAGATGGGAGTACAACCGAGTCAGGAGAAAAGGAAGCCTCTCTCTCTCTCTCTCTCTCTCTCTCTCTCTCTCTCTCTGTCTCCATATATAGACACACGTATGTATAGATTTCTTTGTAAATTTGCTGATGTTATGCTTTGCTTCTGAAATCATTTGGCTACAATTCATTTAATTCACTACTGTTTCTGCATTCTTGTCCGTGTCAGGGTGTGGGGTGTGCTCAGCAGTTCTTACAAAGCGGGGAATCGTACCTGAAATTTCTTGCAGATGCAGAAAGGTTTTCACAGATTCTAAAGGGAACCCTTAATGGAATCTGAATATGCTAATCATATGTTAATTTTTAAATTTCCCAGTTTCCTTTTTATCTCTGGGAGCTAGTCATTTTGTTCTCAGAGCCTAGATGTGATTTTGGAGGCCTCTGGAAAGCCCGAAAGCCACCCTATGGTGCCTTGGAGCCCCCCAACTTCTCCAGCCAAATAAAAGGGCCCGTTGCCTCTGTGGGGTTCCCTCTGGTCTCAAAGAAGCCACACCTGCGCCTAAGGTCGTGGCGGTCTGTGGCCACGAGTGTCAGGATCTGGTTACTATCCGTTGCTAGTGCCTGTGACTCGACAGTTTATAAGGGATGCTTCCCTCACTCCCCACAGTGACAGCTTCCCCGGGGGGCACATTGCCAGAGGGCTCTGCCGGCCCAGGCTCGCTCAGAGCTTGAGCCCATAAATCATCGGTGCAGTGGGCGGGGCATCAGGGTGGGGACCGGTAGTGCATTTCCTGTCTCCAGGGACCAACATCCATCCATGCCAGGCTCTCCGCTGGGCACCACAGACCTCCTGGTGGGCAAAGCAGGCTCGGCCCTTCCCTTCCCGGGACGGACTCTGGCGCCCACGGCCTGGGTGGCTCCTGCGTCCATCCCCCTGGGCTTCCCCAGCCTCCCCGTCCTGGCCTGTAAAGTGGGGGTTATAGTAGTGGGCCTCTTGGGTTGCTGGAGAATGACTGAATCATCTTCATAAAGCATTCCGTAAAACAGCGCTCCCTCTCGGTACCTGAGGTCTTGCTGATGTCATAGTGTGAGGAGGGAAGCTAGATCGCGTACAGACAATTGCAATGAAGGGTGCAGTGTGGACGGGGCCAGGTGCAGTGTGGACGGGGCTGGGTGCAGTGTAGATGGGCCAGGTGCAGTGTGGATGGGCCGGGTGCAGTGTGGATGGGGCCAGTTGCAGTGTGGATGGGGCTAGGTACAGTGTGGATGGGGCCAGTTGCAGTGTGGATGGGGCTAGGTACAGTGTGGATGGGGCCAGTTGCAGTGTGGATGGGGCTAGGTACAGTGTGGATGGGGCCAGTTGCAGTGTGGATGGGGCTAGGTACAGTGTGGATGGGGCCAGTTGCAGTGTGGATGGGGCTAGGTACAGTGTGGATGGGGCCAGTTGCAGTGTGGATGGGGCTAGGTACAGTGTGGATGGGGCCAGTTGCAGTGTGGATGGGGCTAGGTACAGTGTGGATGGGGCCAGTTGCAGTGTGGATGGGGCTAGGTACAGTGTGGATGGGGCCAGTTGCAGTGTGGATGGGGCTAGGTACAGTGTGGATGGGGCCAGTTGCAGTGTGGATGGGGCTAGGTACAGTGTGGATGGGGCCAGTTGCAGTGTGGATGGGGCTAGGTACAGTGTGGATGGGGCCAGTTGCAGTGTGGATGGGGCTAGGTACAGTGTGGATGGGGCCAGTTGCAGTGTGGATGGGGCTAGGTACAGTGTGGATGGGGCCAGTTGCAGTGTGGATGGGGCTAGGTACAGTGTGGATGGGGCCAGTTGCAGTGTGGATGGGGCTAGGTACAGTGTGGATGGGGCCAGTTGCAGTGTGGATGGGGCTAGGTACAGTGTGGATGGGGCCAGTTGCAGTGTGGATGGGGCTAGGTACAGTGTGGATGGGGCCAGTTGCAGTGTGGATGGGGCTAGGTACAGTGTGGATGGGGCCAGTTGCAGTGTGGATGGGGCTAGGTACAGTGTGGATGGGGCCAGTTGCAGTGTGGATGGGGCTAGGTACAGTGTGGATGGGGCCAGTTGCAGTGTGGATGGGGCTAGGTACAGTGTGGATGGGGCCAGTTGCAGTGTGGATGGGGCTAGGTACAGTGTGGATGGGGCCAGTTGCAGTGTGGATGGGGCTAGGTACAGTGTGGATGGGGCCAGTTGCAGTGTGGATGGGGCTAGGTACAGTGTGGATGGGGCCAGTTGCAGTGTGGATGGGGCTAGGTACAGTGTGGATGGGGCCAGTTATGGGCCAGGTGCAGTGGGGATGGGGCCAGGTGCAGTGTGGACAGGGCCAGGTGCAGTGTGGACGGGGCAGGTGCAGTGTGGACGGGGCAGGTGCAGTGTGGACAGGTGAGGTACAGTGTGGACGGGCCAGGTGCAGTGTGGACAGGACCAGGTGCAGTGTGGATGGGGCCAGGTGCAGTGTGGACGGGCCGGGTGCAGTGTGGACTAGGCCCACGAGGTGGGGAGGAGCCTGGCTGAGCCTCTGACTGTCGCCAGGGTCTCGTTTGCAGATGAGTCGGAGCTGATGGTGCAGCTTCCAGACAAGATGCGGCTGGACCTGGCCATCGACGTGAACTACGACATCGTCAGCAAAGTGGCGCTCTTCCAGGTACCCCACCCCCCACCACAGCCCACACCTCAGGGCTCTGGGAGGCCGGAGCCCCCGCCTTCCTCTAACGGGGCTCCTGGCTGCCTCCTGGCTGCTCCCCACGCAGGGCTGTGACCGGCAGATGATCTTTGACATGCTCAAGCGGCTGCGCTCTGTCGTCTACCTGCCCAATGACTACGTGTGCAAGAAGGTGAGGGCCGAGGCAGCCACACTGGGATTTACCCCCCCCCCCCCACACTCCGCCCCCAGGGCTAGGTACAGTGTGGATGGGGCCAGTTGCAGTGTGGACAGGGCCAGGTGCAGTGTGGACGGGGCCGGGTGCAGTGTGGATGGGCCAGGTACAGTGTGGACGGGCCGGGTGCAGTGTGGACTGGGCCCACGAGGTGGGGAGGAACCTGGCTGAGCCTCTGACTGTCGCCAGGGTCTCGTTTGCAGATGAGTCGGAGCTGATGGTGCAGCTTCCAGACAAGATGCGGCTGGACCTGGCCATCGACGTGAACTACGACATCGTCAGCAAAGTGGCGCTCTTCCAGGTACCCCACCCCCCACCACAGCCCACACCTCAGGGCTCTGGGAGGCCGGAGCCCCCGCCTTCCTCTAACGGGGCTCCTGGCTGCCTCCTGGCTGCTCCCCACGCAGGGCTGTGACCGGCAGATGATCTTTGACATGCTCAAGCGGCTGCGCTCTGTCGTCTACCTGCCCAATGACTACGTGTGCAAGAAGGTGAGGGCCGAGGCAGCCACACTGGGATTTACCCCCCCCCCCCCCCCCCCCCCCCCCCCCCCCCTGGGGGGGCGGGCTGTGAGGGCCCAGGGAGGTTGGGCCACAGGGAGGTTGGGCCGCAGGGAGGGTGGGCCACAGGGAGGGTGGGATTGGCAGGGATGGGGAAGAGTGGCCATAGCTCTGTGCGCTGGTCAGCCGGCCTCAGGGATCCTGGTTCCATGACACAGGAGGTTTTGTCCGGCTCCAGGCACCGAACTCAGGCTTTGCTCCCTGGACATGGGATTGTGGGGGCCAGGACGAGGAGCCCCGCTTTACAGAAAAGGGACGTGAGGAGCCTGAAGAGGGGCAGGGCCATAGCTGTGTGGATGGAACTGTTGCCAGGATCTTGGTCCTGCGATGGGGAAAGGGGGCGGGAGTAGAGGTGGGGCAGGGCAAGGCTGCACACGATACCCTTGCATGGCTGTTTGTGGGTTTTTCCACCTAACCTTTTGTTAAAGGTTGTTTTTTTTAAAATATTTTTTTATTGATTTCAGAGAGGAAGGGAGAAGGAGAGAAAGAAATAAAAACATCAATGATGAGAAAGAATCATTGATCGGCTGCCTCCTGCACGCCCCTCACTAGGGATCAAGCCCACAAACCAGGCATGTGGCCTGACAGGGACTCGAACCGTGACCTCCTGGTTCATAGGTCGATGCTCAACCACTGAGCCACCGCGGCCGGGCACATATCAATTTATTGTCTGAGGCACCGCGAGACTGTCCATGGCCCGGGCCCTCATCGGGTGCATAACGGGAATGTGTAGAGCACCGTGACACCTGCCCCATGACAGCTAGCATTTTCCGTCACCCACTAACTCCCCACCGCCACCCTGTCACTGAGGCAGGCCGAGGGGGGGGTCATTCTCCCCAATCCACAGATGGAGAGACTGAGGCCCCACAACACACACCAGGTCGTGCCACCGGCCCAGTCCTGCTTGTCTGTGGTCGCTTTTGACAATGACAGAGGGACGTTCCCCTTCTTGGTTTCAGGGGGAGATAGGGCGGGAGATGTACATCATCCAGGCGGGGCAGGTGCAGGTCTTGGGCGGCCCTGACGGGAAGTCCGTGCTGGTGACACTGAGAGCTGGATCCGTATTCGGAGAAATAAGGTCAGAGGGGGCTGGCAGGGGGTGGTGGTGGCCCATGGGTGGGCCTCATCCTCAGGGCCCTGGGGGTCAGAGGGAGCCCTGTGGATGCCGCCCCGGCACCTGCCGACATATGCAGGTGACACACGCTCACCGGCGTGGGGCGGACACAGGGTGGAGAGGAAGACTGCAGGGTGAGCAGAACCGCAGCCCGAAGGGCCTCACCCCCCTCCTCCCTCACCCCAGCCTGCTGGCGGTCGGAGGCGGGAATCGGCGCACGGCCAACGTGGTGGCCCACGGCTTCACCAACCTCTTCATTCTGGACAAGAAGGACCTGAATGAAATTCTGGTGCATTATCCCGAGTCTCAGAAGTTGCTCCGGAAGAAGGCCAGGTACTTGCCTTTCTTTTTTTTTACTGACAAAGTCCGTGGAGCCCTGGCTGGTTTGGCTCAGTGGATGGAGCATCAGCCCTCGGACTGAAGGGTCCCGGGTTCGATTCTGGTCATGGGCAGGCACCTCATTGCAGGCTCGATCCCCGGCCCTGGGTGGGGTGGGGCACATGCAGGAGATGACTGATGGAGGTGTCTCTCTCACTTAGGTGTTTCTCTCTGTCTCTCCCTCTCCCTTCCACTCTCTCTAAAAAAAAAAAAAAGTGCATGGATGCTTTCGCGTGCGGTCCTGAAGGACTAAGACTTCCTCTTCCATCGCTGTAGGACCTTCTGTGTTTCCTTTGGCAAATACAGGCCGGTCCGCGAACGGGTTCTGATCTCTGTTTCTGCCTTGCGCAGAGAGTGGCTCACTTGGGTTCTCTCTGCACATTGCTTTTTTGCACACGGCGCCAACCCTGCCGCACGGCCCCTGTGGGTCCACAGACAGCGCGCTCACCCCCGTGGGCAGCGGCAAAGCGCTCCTGTTCGTGGCCATTCGGGCCGTTTCCCCAGGATCTTGTAGTAGGAACAGGGCTGCAGTGAGAACCTGTGCACCTGTATCGGGGATTGTCAGGGAGCAGGTGCTTTCTTAGGAAAGCGTATTTTTGCTTTTAAAAGATCGGGGTTTTAATTGCGTGATGGAGGCCACATGGTCCGGCGGGGGACCCCCATCAGTGTGGGGGGCTGATAGAGCTCAGATCTCCTCCAGGTGTGGTACGGGCTGTGTGACCTTGGGAAAGTTACTTAACCTCTCTGGTCTCAGTCTTCTCCCCTGTAAACGAATGGTAACCATAACGTCACCACTGTGTGCATCTCCAGCAGGGTGCCCGGCCTGTGGGAGTGCTCAGTAAGAAGGTGAATAATGATGGTCCCTCTTTATCTGTTCAATTCCCTCTATAATTTTCCCATTGGACACTTTCTAATGCACATATCTGGTGTCTGCCCGCCCTTGCCATTTATTGCATATTCTCCTCTTCCACTTCATTCTTTGAAATAACATCACGCACAGAGCGTGGTCCTGGTAAAAGGAACCGAGTCTCCAACATCTGTTCATGCAGCACAGTCATTTATTGAGGATGTAGTTGGAAGCCCTGGGGACACAGCCGGGACCAAACAAAGCCATCCTAGTCGGGGGTGGGGGACCGACAACGGAGAAGCGAATGATTAGGTGATGTGTCAGCCGGGGACAAGGGCTCTGCGGAAACACAAAGCCACGGGAGGGGACACGCTGACGGAGGGAGCTACTGGGACAAGTCGGCAAGGAAAGGCCGTTCTGAGCAGGTGGCATGTCCACGGAGACCTGCACAGAGGAAAGGCGTGAGCTGGGGCGCTGCCCGCAGGGAAGAGCATGCCAGGCAGAGGGAACAGCATGTGCAAAGGCCCACGGAGGCGCAGAGTGTGTGTGTGTGTGTGCAGACCAGCAAGGAAAGGAGCACAGCTTGCTATGGGGATGGAGGATCGAGGGGCTGAGACTGGGGAGGGCCTGTAGGTGAAGCCCGGTGATGGCTCCGCCCGCGATGGGGTGGGAAGGAAGCTCTCCGGGAAGCCGCTGGGCCCTTCCAAAGGCCGGTGAACCTGAACTTTCCCCACCAAATCCCCCACTTCCCCTCCTCTCCTGAGGGCCGGGGACAACACTCACTATTCTCGGATCCTGTATTTGTGACTCGCCTCCTCGCTAACATTCATTCACAACCCAGACCCACACTCAGGGGCATGCGCGTATGGCGTTGGCAGGCACCGGGGAGCAGGGGAACATCTGAGTCACCCAGAGCGCGTGTTCCAAGCTGAGCCGGAGCAAGCGGCACTCCGCCCTCTCCTCCCAGCTCCTACTGTACTCAAGTGTCCGGTTTTTACGTTTCCGTGACATTTTTTGGTGACCTTGCTACTTAAAAAGGAGGCTGGGACGTGCCTTCGTTCAGGCTCGGGGTTTGGAGCTGCCGGCCCTGGGCTCGTTGTGAATGGGTCGGCAACAGGGTAAATGAGATGTCTTTAAGCAGAAGCACACCCGAGGCAGGCTATGCATTGACCGGCTGATGATGTTGTGTTGAGAGGCACGCAGAGGAGCCCTCATCCCGATTCCCCCAGCGGCGACGGTTCAGGAGTCACTGATTCCGTGTTTGCAGGGATTCGTAGAATTTACCCAGGTAATGGGAACTGACTGTTTCTGTCTGAGAACTGGCCCCCAGGCCCTCCTCCTCTTTTCCTCCCCCTGCAGGAAGGCTCAAGTGGCATCCATCCCACCGGCTGGGTTAGGTGAAGCTTTGCCAAATCAGCCAGATCCTGCAGAGGCCTCACTCCTGACCTGCCTGTGGGACAGGGGGTGGGGTGGGGTGGGGGCAGCCAGAGGAAGGAGGAGGGGCTGATTCTGGACAAGTTTGAGGAGAGAGGTAGGGGGCCACGTAGGAGCGCTGCCCATCGAAAGAGAGACGAGACCGCCTGGCTGGCGTGGCTCAGTGGTTGAGCGTTGACCTATGAACCGGAGGTCGTGGTTTGATTCCCGGTCAGGGCACATGCCCGGGTTGCTGGCTCGATCCCCAGTAGGGGGCATGCAGGAGGCAGCCGATCAATGATTCCTTCTCGTCATTGATGTTTCTATCTCTCTGCCTCTCCCTTCCTCTCTGAAATCAATTTAAAGAGAGAGAGAGATGGGGTCTGAGAACCCCAGGGCCTGGGGGTGTCTGTCTGAGTTGGTGAAAGCCACATGTGGGGTTCTGTCTGAGCTTCCCCTTTATGGGAGACCCTTGGCCCCAAATAAGCGAGGCGCTCAGCTCTTGGACTTGGCCCCTCCAAGAAAGGGGGCCAAAACGTCTCATGCATGCCCCCTCCTGCAGGGGTGAATGCTTGATCAATTATAGTGAAATGCATGCCACCTGAAAACGAGGCTCCGTTTCCTTAATCCGGAAGCGCCCCAGAAGCCCGCTCAATGTTTCAAACCAGAGCCAGCGCCAGCCCTCCGCGCAGGTCCTATGGACATCTCCTTCGTGTCGCCTGCGTCCGCCGAGCCTTCCTGCAGACGCGTGTGCGCGGAATTACGGACCCAAATAACACGGGTGCCGGTGCCGGGCTTGGAAGAGGCCTCGATGAAGGATCACGTGGTGTTCTCCGGGGGCAGCCCCAGCTAGCACATGCACGTCTTGGGCAATTAATATCGATACGCACAATTCCAATCCATTGCCTCTGATTAGAGAAGCAGCCAGCCAGGGCCTCCTTTGTAAACAAACACGTTTTGCTGGAAGCCGGAGGAATGAATGGGCCAATTAGCTGTCTCGGCTCTGCTCGATCGCAGGTGAAATGCATTTGTTCCTGAGCCAAGCCGCTCGTCATAAATGTGCAGCGTGAAGAATTCCTTATGAGAGGCGGCGGCTCCGTTAGATGGAAAGGTCTCTCCTCGTTTAGGGAAGCCGGGTGACACGCCGCATTTAATCTGGGTTGTTATTCTGTCTCGGCCACTTCCTAGCAACCTTGGGCACGTCAGTCTCCCCTCCCCCACTCTGGGCCTCAGTTTCCCCAGCTCTCATAGGCACAGTAATCCCAGCCCTTCCCGTGTCACAGGCGTGCTGTCAGCATCCAGGAAGAGCATGCCCATGAAGTTGCTGCGATCATTAAGGCCTGGCACGCTGGGGTCAGGGGTGTGGGTTTGAATTCCAGCTCGGCCACTTCCCAGCTGTGTGACCTTGGGGAAGTTACTCGCCCTCTCTGGGCTTCCATGTCCTCATTTGAAATGAGGGGCAATAACAGGACCTACCTGAGGACCCCTGGGAGACTTAAATGGTAGAGTGTGTTGTCAGTTATCACTGCTGCCTAACAGTATTACCACAGACGCAGTAGCCTGAAGCCACACGTATTTATTATCTTAGAGCAGTGGTTCTCAACCTTCTGGCCCTTTAAATACAGTTCCTCATGTTGTGACCCAACCATGAAATTATTTTCGTTGCTACTTCATAACTGTAATGTTGCTACTGTTATGAATCGTAATGTAAATATCTGATATGCAGGATGGTCTTAGGCAACCCCTGTGAAAGGGTCGACCTGAAGCCACACATATTTATTATCTGGGAGTTTCTACGGGTCAGAAGTCTGGGGATGCCTGGAATGGGCCCACTCTTCTATGGGTCAGAAGTCTGGGGATGCCTGGAATGGGCCCACTCCAGGGCTGTAATCAAGGTGTTGCCAGAGCTGGGTTTCCTCCCAAGTTCAAGTGGGGAAGGATCTGCTTCCACGTCACGTGGTTGTTGGCTGAATTCAGTGCTTGTGGTTGTAGGACTGGTGGCTGCCCTCAGGGTCTTGTCCCCTTACTTCCGTCCATGTGGGCGCTGGCTTCAGCAAAGCCAGCAAGGCTTGTCCTTGCAAGACAGAGATCACGATCCTGTGTGACGTGTTCATAAATGTGACAGTTGACCACCCTCGCTGTGTTCTAGTGATTGAAAGTAGGTGGCATGTCCCACTTCCCTCAAGGGGCGGGGATCACACAGACAGAGGCAGGAAGGGGGACCGCAGAGCCACCCAAGAGCACCTGTAGAGGACTGAGCACAGGGCCTGACACGTACAGACGCTCAGTAAGGACTGGGGTGGTGCTGGTGCTGATGGTGACGTGGCAATGAAGCCAGAGAAAGAGAAGCAAAAAGCTTTGGGTCCTTTTCCATCTGGGCCTCTTATTTCTGATTCCAGACACTGAAGTACCTTTGTTATTTCCTGTGTGACCTCAGGGAAGTTGCTCAACCTCTCTGAGCCTCCGTTTCCTCCTCTATAAGGTGCAGACAATAAGACCCACGTCTATTGTTCTGATCGTTCAGTGAGATGCTATGCATGAAGCCCTTAGCACTGTGCTTGGCTCAGAAAATACACTCAGAAATGGTTTGCCAGCCCGGCCGGCGTGGCTCAGTGGTTGAGCATTGACCTATGAACCAGGAGGTCGCGGTTCGATTCCTAGTCAGGGCACATGCCTGGGTTGCGGGCTCGATCCCCAGTAGGGGGTGACCTGGGTTGCCTCCTGCACGATCAATGATTCTCTCTCATCATTAATGTTTCTATCTCTCTCTCTCTCCCCATCCTCTCTGAAATCAATAAAAAATGTATTTTAAAAAAAGGGCTCGCCAAACAAGACAACTCCAAGGGCACTATACAAGCGGACTTATCCTCTGTCCCTGAGTGTGCTGGGGACATGAGCGGACGCTGTGCTGTGTGCTGGGGACAT